TCTTATCTATAAGAATCAGTATATTTTTCTTTAATATGCTAAATTTGGCTCTAGCAGATACTTTTTTGTTGAATATATTAAAACTGAAGTCTGATTGCAACCTCAATATAAATGGATATTTGTTTAATTCTAATTCCATAAGAAGATAGTTGATGAGTGAATCTGTGAATATATAGAGAGTGACTATAGAGAGAGTAACTATAGAGAAGTTAAACTGTATATTGATATACAAATATTAATCTATATAAATTTGATACAAATTATTTTTTATTAATATGACTCAAATTTCTATCTAAAGCAAAAGCAATTATATAATAAGCTAATCAAGAAAAAATGAAAAATATAAAAAAAATAGTAGTCTAAATCTATTTTGAGATATTAATAAAAAAATATTTAGAGAATTTTGTCTATATAAATATACCTAACCTTATCCTAATTTTAACTTAAAGCTATCCTGGTCCTAAAGTAATTTAATATAATATTATTATTTAAATTGCTACTTCTTCTATAAATATAATAGAACTATACTACTATAGTAAAAATTCTGTTATTAATAACAAACAAGATAAACTATTATACAAATTTAGTAAGCCTTGTGCTAGGCATTACTAATTAGTTCAATTATCATATATAAATATAGAGCAAGATATATATATATATAATGAATAATAACAATATATAAAAATTTTGCAGTATATTTTTTTAATAAAAAAATAATATAAAATTTAAGTAGCAATAAATTTTAAAATTATTATAGTTGAACCTCTATAATTGCACTTTTTATAATTATATACCCTCTTTAAATAAACATATAATTCTGGTCCCAAGCTCAGACAATAATAATAAATATGCACCCTTTATATTCTATATGTGTATAAATTTTTAAAAATTTTTATATATAAAATATTCTCTATAAATACACACTCTCTCTAATTGAACTGTTTAATAAAGTTTTAGTTTAGAACTATAATTCTAAATATACGCTTAGTATTAAATTTTATTGTTTGTTTAAAATAAAGTGATGTTATATATTATTTAAATTAACATTATATATTACATCATTATGATATACAGTATATATCAAATTATATAAAATGATTATCAAAATTGATAAAAAATTTTAACTAACATATCTCAAAAACATAAATTTTTAACAAATATTCAAAAATATGAAATTTGTCAATATGCTTATAACAATAGTAACAAAACTAGATCTGAATATACAAAGTAGATTGAACAAAAATGAAGAATTAAAGTTAGTTTATCTACTATTACACAAATTCTTCAAACTAAAAATAAACATCTTACAACAGAAATAACAAATCTGGATATGAAATAACACAAACCTGTTACTTTTTCAGAATTTGAACTCACTTTAAAAGAATTTGTGCTAATTTATCAAGATTAAACAATTTTAACTGACATCTTAATTATTAAAAAGGCTAAATTATTGGCAAATAGATTTAATATTTCTGAAGATCAACTAAAATTTTCTAATAGATGGTTACAAAAATTTAAAGATCATAACAGAATTCATTAAGTAATATTTCATAGAAAAGCAGTATTAGCTGATTATACAGCAATTGCAGAAAATTTACCAGTTTTGCAAGATAAATATAATAATTATCCTCTTGAATGTATTTACAATATGGATGAAACTAGATTATTTTATTAGTTTTTTTTAATTTTTTTTTCTTTAAAAAAAGTTATTTTTATTTATTATTTATTTATTTATTTATTTTATTTACTATATTATAAATTTTTTTTAATTACAGGTTAGAGCTAGATTAAATACTAGCAATACCATATCTTTTAGATTACAAAAAAAACAGAATATTTATTAATTGCATTATGCGTAAATACAGATAGGTCTCATAAACTAAACTCCTTAATAATTAGAAAGTATAGCTAAACTATGATGCTTCAAGAATATTAATATTTGAAACTTATCTATAAAATACCATAACAATACTAAGGCATGGATGCTTGCAGTCCATTTTCAAGACTGGTTGAAAGATTTTGATGCTCAGATAGCAAAAAAATATAAAAATCAATGAGTGCTTCTTTTATTTGATAATTGTAGTAGCTATAAAATCAGTGGTTTAAAATTAAGTAATACTGATATTTACTTCTTTCCTCTATATACTACTTCAGTGATCCAGCTAATGGACGCTAGAATAATAATATCTTTTAAAATATTATTACTATTTTCAACTTTGGTAAAGTATTTTAATTTATTTATTTATTTATTATTTTTTTTTTATATTATTTAAGAATATTGATATACTGTACAATATATTAACTATCTGCATCTAATTGATTAACATACCTATTAATTAATTTATTCTCTCATTCACTCAGATATGTATATTATTCTTCAATTTTTGATTAGTTTATCTATTTTATTTGTTAACTTATTCTTTTTTTATTTTTACTTGCCTAATAATTTATTAAAATTTATTTTTTCATCTATTAATTCATTAATTTATATATCTATTTATCCTTTATTCATTAATTTATATAGAGAGGGCTATAGCAAAACCAGGCTTCAGGCCAACCAATCAAAATTCAAGATTTTATATCATGACTATCTATCCCATAATTAGTTTTATAAAAACAATTTTAATCATCGAATATATTAATAAAAAAATATGTAAATTTAGTTTCTTTAGTATAACATATTATACAAGTAATAATCATATACTAATTTTGATGTTAATTTTCTCAAAATCACATGATTGTCCCAAAGCCTGGTTTTGCTATGAACACCTATATATCTATTTATCCTTTATTTACTAATTTATTGATTTATTTTATCTGTTTACTATTTATCTATCTATTACTATTCATAATTTATTCGTTTATTTGTTTACTTGTTTATTTATTAATTTACTTATTTATTTATCTATTTTTTTAATTTATTGTTTTGCTTTTGTATTAATCTATTTGTTCATCTATTCATTTACTTACTTTACTTATTTATTTATTTATTTATCTATTCGCTTATTTATTCATCTTATTTATTTATTTATTTATTATTTATCTATTCACTTACATATTCATCTATTCGTTTACTTCATTCTCTATTATTCACTTATTTTTTTTATCTATTTGCTTACTTTTGCTTATTTTAGGGGACGTCTAAAGCGGAAGCAAATTATATGATCAACTGCCAATCAAATTATAGAATTTTGATAATCATCAATGAAGCAAAACAATAAATAAAAACCAAAAACCCAAAAAATACAAAAAATAGCTGTCTAAACCTACTTCAGGTAGATTAATCAAAAATGTCAAGAAGGCAATTTTGCTTATATTTAATTATCTAAAACCTATTCTGACCCTAATATAGGATGGCCCTAACCCTAAAGTTAATCGATAACATTATTAAGAAATATGAGTGCTTCTACTTTAGACATCCTTTATTTTATCTATTTACTTATTTATCTATTTATTTATCTATTCACTATTTATTAATTTATATATTTATTCATTTATTCATTTATTCTCTATTTATTTACTCATTTATTAATTTGTTCATTCGCTTATCTATTTATTTATTTATTTAATATTAATTTATAATTTATTAATTTATTTGTTCATATTAATTTGCTATCTTAATACTATTTATTGCAATAACTAATATTCAGATAGATTTTAGAGAAGGTCAAAAGAGGAGAACTAATCCAAGACTTAAAGATGAATATCCTTTAGGCTATTCGGTATATAATTAAGGGTTGAGAAGAAGTTACTATTAAAATAATTACAAATTGCTAGTACAAAACAAAGATCTTTCTTAACAATAATTTAGTACAAACTAGATAATAACTTGTTTAATTATTAATCGTAAACTTTATTTTGTATTTTATTATTATATTTTTTTTTATTTATCATTACAATATTTTTATTTTATATTATTTATTTATTTATTTATTGTTACAATATTTTTTTTATTTATTTATATATTTATTTATTTATTTTTAGAATTGATGACCCAGTATACAATTAACTTGTTGAGGCACTTGATTCTCTGTCTTTTTTTAACGCAATGAGTGTTAATAAATTTTTGAATATTCTGAAAGAAAATATTGTTTATGATATTTCTGGGGATGATAAAATTATTGAGGAACTTGTTAGTATATTTAGTCCTGAAAATACTGATGAATCAAATAAAATAAACGAAGATAGAGATGATAACAATGAATTATCAATTATTAATGCTACTGTGACATTAGAAAATTTGAATAATTTTAGATTGTTTTTACTTCAACAAGAAAAAACTGGCAGGTAATTAAAAGCATTAGATAGTCTTGAGAATTTCATTAGAAAAAAAAAAATAGTTTAATGCTATAAACTAGTATAAATATGTATTTTCATTAATAATACATATTAATTTTTTTTTTTTGGTATTAAGGTGAGGCCTTGCTCATATCTTTATTAGTAATTTAAAAATAGTAACTACATAGTGACTATATAGAAATACTACTATTTGTACA